AAAGCCCCGATTTCCCTCATCAGTGAGTGCACGAGATCTGCACCGTCCAAATACATGGGTGGTGCTGATGGCTACAGCCCAACATTCAATATATAGAGCTCAGCCTAATAGAAACTTCATCCTATACGTATATACATCCACGCACAAAAGTCCAGTAAGTATAGACGTTTTCCCCATCTTGGGGGTGAAATTGCAGTGGATCGCTTGATGATAACATATCATTTTACTTGTACTTTCAATTATAGGGATTTTTACATATGGATATGGTAGAATTAAAAAAATTAACCTTAGGATTTTTGCCTCAAGATCTTATTTTTTAATTTTTATTTTTATCTCAATTTTTACCCCAATTCATATTTTGAATGGCTGTTTTTATATTTATTTTTTATTTATTTGATTATCTGGTTGTCCATATCTACATTACTGAACTGCCCCATAAGCGATCTGATAACTGCAGTAGTGATTTAAAAAATGGATCGGTGCTCCAAATCAGGCACCCCCAAAACCGATATGGATAGGTGAATCGGCGGCTTGGATCGGCAAATCGGCCGAATTCAGCCGTATAAAATCCAAAAAATTCATTATATATTATTATAAATGTTGTTTTTTTAGGAATCCAATAAGAAATGAAGGTACTATATTATTAACTTTCATTTTTTTGCATCAATATACAAATATTGAGATGTTCTTTCCCTATATGAACTACTGTTAATCATTAAATTTATATCACACAGAAAAAGAAGCATAGACTTATCGTAAATGAAGTATATAATCATACGTGGACTGCAATAACGGATATAATTCGTAAAATACGACCTAAAACCAAAATAAAAGACTATGTTGTTTTTTATTTTGGTCACACTGTTGACATTCATTGAATTCACGTGATATGTCATCGACTCGATCTAGGAACGAATCAACCAAATTAGTGGTCACCTTAATATACCAAAATCCTTGAGTATTAGTGTTTTGTTGTGCTTCTAGTCCGAAATCCCCGAAACTTGTCCATCCTTCAAGTTCACCTACAATATCATGCTTGCCCCTACCCTCTTGTTGTTGATACTCAGTATGTGAATAATTTGGTTGTGATCGGGTTGCAAAAACTAGTGAGCAACAAAAAATCAATTTTAAAAATAGTAAACAACAAAAAACCATTTTTATAATAAATGGTTGTTAACTAAAAAAGAAAAAAAAAATTGTTATAAAACATTTGGATTTTAGTAATTGAACAAATTTTCTTCAATAATTCGTAAAAAAAAAAAAAGTACAAACAAATTTCTTTGATAATTCTTAAAAAAATACAAAACAAACAAATTTCGTTCAAACAAAAATTTGTTAAAAAACATATACAAAACAACAAATCATGTTACCTGATTTTGATGAAAGCTAGTCTTACCACGATCATTCGCAAAAAAAATTGGATCAAATCAATGAAGAATGGCCTCATGATTCACAGTTTTGCCGAAAATCCAAACCCTTTGAAAAAACTGAAAATCTCGTTCAAACAAAAAAAATCCTAAAAAAAAAAAAAGTACAAAACAACAAACTACACGAACTGATTTAAAGAAAGGTAGACTTTACACGATCATGCAGCAAAAAAATTGGATCAAATCAATGAATAATGGCCACATGATTTACGGATTTGCAGAAAACCCAAAACCTCTCAAAAGAAACCGTAAATTCAGTAAAAACAATTGTAAAAAAAAATACAAAATAACAAATCAGGTCGCCTAATTTTGATGAAAGCTTTTACCACAATCGTAAAAGTAATGGATCAAATTAATGAAGAATAGCCACCAAAATCAATATTTAGCAAAAAGCCCTAATCTGTTAAAAAAAACCTCATATTTTAGTCAAATAATTTACGAAAATGTATTTTTTTGGGGTTCTATCCAAGCCCAATTATTGTTTTTTGGACCTCAAAAGTTATTCCCTTCATTATTAATAATAAATGATGTATTTTTACAGATCGAGCAGTTTTTTTTATAAAAAAGGGGCAAAACACTGGTTTTACTGTAACATACCCATTTTTATTGTAACAACTCATCGTGTTACTGTAGCGAACCCCATGTTTTCGTTGAACATAGCTGTTTTGGCTCTAAAACACCAGTTTTCCTATATTTCGTAAGAATCGGTACGGAGTGACCTATTCTCGAATCGCCTCGAATAATTCCCTCAAGATCCGAAGATTCTGTGCCAACTCACCGTTTATTGAAACACTTAGACGGCAACATTGACCGCACTACATTTTGGAGCAGTTTGGCATTTAAAACGTAAGAACGTCATTTTTCTTTTTATATTTCCAATATTTAAATAGTGAACATCAGTATATACTACAAAAACAAAAGAAAAAAAAGAAAAGCAGTTAAAAAATGGTCCAATGTCATAACCCCAAACCATAGACAACTTTAGGCAAAATGCACGGCGTTTCGATGCCCAACATTAGGACAAAAATGCATGGCGATCCAATGTTCTAATTTGCAGTTATTAGACAAGCCCTGCAAATGGGGTGATTTGATGCATTTGAATATTATTACACTACCCACAAATGTTATAAATAAATAAATAAATAAGAAAGAGTAAAAGGTTCGATATTTAAAAAAATGTATGATTTGTATAGGGCCGAAGTTCTAATCAATCCAATTAAAACCCACCTTCAAATACTATAAAAAAATGTGGTTTCAATATTAGAAATGTTTGTGATAATTTTAAAATATATTTTCATTTTTAATTATAAAATTTATAGCTTCAAAAATAACATAGATCAAATAGATTTATGAATATTTAAAAAATCTTAAAATTGGTACAAGATGCACTATTTCCAAAATTTTAATCTTATTTTTTTCTCATAACCATTACAAGATGCACTATTTCCAAACCTTTAAACCTATTTTTTTCTCATATCCATACATCTTGATAACAAAATGATCAATTTGAAAATATTTGAGAATCAAAACAACCTCTTGATAGTAAAATTTTTTAGATGGGCTCTAATTTGATAGTAATTTGATAGCTTAGAGCCTCGACTCCGTATAAACTTTTCCCTTGACAAAGAGGTTCAATTTGATGATCGAAACGAGGCCGCACATATTGAAAAACCAATCCCAATGAACGGTATAAACTTTTCCCTTGACAAAGAGGTTCAATTTGATGATCGAAACGAGGCCGCACATATTGAAAAACCAATCCCAATGAACGGTATATAACCTCGCATACCGGACAGCCAAATTGAAAAACAAGAAAATTTCGTATAGAACTCTAATTTCTCTTCTTATTTCATGATAAACCCTCTTTTCAGTTTTATTTCAAACGGCATAAAAAAATCACTTTCAACTACCCCTTCATTTTTTATCTCCCTCATTTATTCACTTTTGACTATAAAAATTAACTTCAACAAACTTTTTTTATACCATTTCAACCAAAAAAACCTTTTTATACCATTTCAATCATAAAACGTTTCAAAAACATTTCAAAAACTTTTTTAACCCACCCAATTATATTTTTTAACCCAAAAACATTTCAAAAATATTTTTTTATAATTTGTTTTTACTTTTTTAACCCCTCAATGCCACATCGCTCTTATCTCTCGTATTGAATTGAAATGATATAAAAATATTTATTGAGATTAATTTTTAAAATAAAAAATAAATAAATGATGGAAATAAGTGATAAAAAAGCACGGCAAAATCTTTAAAGATTTTTTTATGCCGTTTGAAAAAAAAAAAATAGAAAAAAAGATATTGAAGAATCAAAGTTCTATATAAAATTTTCCCTTAGAAAAAATACTATAAATAGAGGTATAACACGTTGCCATAAAATTTTAAAAGTACCAAACTTATTGACAAAAAGTAAAAAAAACAAGCTCTCTATGTTTCCCTTAGAGCATAGAAATTCTATCTTCCCATAAAAATTCTATCCTCCCTTTTATCCAACCATTTATTTTGAATGGAAGTCAAAGACTGCCCAATCACAACATCATCATGTCTGTATATTATTTTATTTTTAATTTTTTTTCTATAAATTATTTTAACACCAAATCTTTTTACATCCATTTTTCTATTAAACTCATAAAAATATATAAAAAAAATATTTTCTAAAAATAAAATAACAAAAATACCTTTAAAATTTTAAAAAGATATTTTGCTAATTATATTTTATGAAAAAATTATTTTAAATATTTTTTTATAAATTCACCCCACACGTATCAAATTTCAATTTTATATTCGTACGATTTGTATAAAAAACTAAAAAAAAAATACTTTGAGATATCTAATCTTTACTCTCTCGATCAAAATTGATCGTTATACAAAAACTAAAAAAAAAATACTTTGAGATATCTAATCTTTACTCTCTCGATCAAAATTGATCGTTGATCGATTGAATGACAAAAGAAGGATAAAATTGGACGGCTGAATAACAAAGGAAGGATAAAACTTCTATGGAAGAAGCATATAAATCTTTTCCCAAGGTAAAATATGCGAGTTGTATAGAGCGAAACTCTAAACAATAATAAATAAAATAAAAAAAAGCACTTCTAAATGTGATTCCACTGCTGAAAATCTTTGTGAAACCCTTAAATTATATTTTCATCTTTAACTATAAAATTTAAATCTTCAAAAATAGCATAGATCCACTTGAAATATAGATTAAAAAATAATATAAATCAACTTGAAATATAAAAAATTGACAATCCAAAAATACGTTCCCATATGTATTATTCCAAAATGTATAATCCATTTTATTTTATTTTTCTGATGTCCATGCATCTTGACGTAAGAGATGATTAATTTGAAGATATTTCACCAAACCTGATGATTAATTTGAAGATATTTCAACAAACCTGAAAGTAAAGTTGTTTGACGGATATTTGAGCATCAAAACAACCTGATTTGAGACGGGCTCTAATTTGATTGTTTAGAGACTCAGGCTCTATACAAACCCTTTTTCCAAAAGTAAATTACCCACTCCGTAGGTAAGAAATCACTTTTTTGTCATTAATATGCGATAGACACCCGTCTAAATAAATGCCTCTTATTCACAACTCTTCAAGCATCACATGGGCAATGGAGAATTGAGAATTTTAAAAGCGAGAGAGACAGAAGGGCAAAAAAAAAAAAACACAAAAACCTAACTAAAAGCATCATTATTAACAACTCAAAGGAAGGATGGCACTCTCCAAAAAAAAAAAACAAAAAAGAAAAAAAAAACTTTAAAAAGAAAGGAAACTCAGGTTCAAGGAAAGGTTGTCCTAGAATTGGAATGAGAAAAGCTGCTTCTCCTCCGCTTCAAAATCACATATCTCTGTGTGTTGCAGAGTTGTGAAAAGCAGCCCTTACTTGACTCTTCCCATGAGGAGGAGCATGGATAGTTTCAGGCAATATAACACTTTCTTTTTGGGAGGTGGTCAGTGTTCGAAGCTCATCTGGACTAAGGTTGAAGGCTGTGGCCAGCTCTGGCCCCCTCATTAGGTTCAAGACAGAGTTTGGTCCCACCAAGAACTGGGGTCTGTTACTTTGAGCCGAGGTGGTGAAGCCGAAGAATTCCATCGGCCCACTCCTAGACGCAATTTGGCAGAAGGGGAAGTAGCGGGGGATCCAAAAGGCATCACCCTCCTTCACATTGGTGTCCATGGCGAGGGAACCATTGGGGAAGACCACCTGCACGTTGCCCATTCCTTGCAGCACAATGCCGTACTCGGTGGCAATCGGATTCATATGTGGCGCCATCATCGCACCCTGCAAAAGAAATTAGAAGTGATTGATTGGTTAATCTCCTCGTCCTATATATGATGGTTCTTAATCTTTGAATTGAGAACAACTATATCAAAGGTATTAAATCATGGAACTAAAAAGAAATTTTCAAATTTTTTGTGTGTAAATCAAGGGTTGAGTAAGCAAGCAAGTGACTCACAGCGGTGAGGTTGACAAGATAGACACCAATATCAGAGTGGGCGAGAGGCGAGTAGTCATGGTGGTCGAGGGCAATGCTCCACCCATGTTTATTTCTGAAATCGGGCTTCTTCTTGTACAAGTTGTATGAGTCAGTAGTGTGTCTCTGAGCTTTATTCTCCTCACCGAAGACCGACTTCATAAGCTTCCTCCAGCCCCAATTCACTATCTCTTCCTCCTCCTCTTCTACAACTCTATGAGGAGTTGGTTTGATGAGAGAAAATGCCTTCGGAGGCTCGTGGGCACCTGTCATGTATATGATGGGCCCTGCGCTGGGCCTCCCTAACATGCTGCTCAGCTCCTCCGTCGATACCTGCAATCACAGAAATCATCGTAAATCGAAGGGCCAGCAGAATTTTATAGAAGTCGAAAAAGAAGGCTCCAATTGTTGACACCACTCCTCAAATGGAGGAGCATTAGCAAGCTTACATTAAATGCTGTGCTGAGTGTCTTGAGATTGAATCCAGAAAGCACAGAACCACGTCCACCTCCAAGAATGAAAGACTGCACATGATCACAAATAAGGTTAAAAAAAAAAAAAACCCATTAACCCATTCCACCAGAGAACCAAAGAATAGGGAAAAAATTCACGGAAAAGCTAATAGATATACAGAGGACCTGGAATGGCTGATGCCCAATGCGCTCAGAAGTGTCTATGCTGCATATGATCTGCAACCTCTGACCTTCCCCGATGTTCACAAGATAGAAAGGAGACCCAGCAGGGATACTGTAAACATCGCCTATTCGCAATTCCTTCTCCACCAAATCATCCCTGTTAATCCACCCAATCTTCGCCGAACCTTTCCATATCACCCCAAAATTTTCAGCAAGACAATAAAATCAGTGCTTGAGCAAATAAAATAGAGAGAGAGAGAGAGAGAGAGAGAGAGAGAAAGAGAGAGGGAGGCTTAAGATGGTTCATACCTCTGCGGACGAAGAGAATTAAGGCGGCATCAAGGTACTGAGGAACAAAGAGGGACTCTGGTTCCATGTTAATAAACCCAATATTCATGGGGCTCGAAACTCCTCTTTCAGCTCCCATCATCACTCTTACTTCACCAGCTTCAGTCTTAATAACTTGTTTGGAATCTCGCAGGATGAACAAATCTCCTCCTTCGCTGCCTCTTCCTCCATGTTCTTCTTCTCTGCCCTCACCTTCTTCCCCTCTGCCCACAACAACCCTGAAATCCCACAACACAATGAGACTGAGGAGAAGAAAAGGAAGAAAGATTTTGGCACCCATACGTATACAATTTCGACTCTCAGAGAGAGCTGTGAAAGAACAGAGAGAGAGTGTGTGATGAAAGCAAAGGTGGGGAAGGGATGAATATATATAAATGGGGGAGGGGCACAGAGAGAGAGAGGGAGTAACACACGTAGTCCATGCAGGGATTGGTATGGGAGGTGGCACACAGAGGAGGAGCCAGCAAGGGTGGAACTAAGATTTGGAGTTGGGAAGCTTAGAAAATGGTGGGATGGGTGGCTTCTCCCCGATGCTATTGCTACGACAAAGTCCACCCAGAGAAAGGAAATCATGATTTTAACGGCACTCGGCTTCAAGATGAAAAATTGGCAAAATTATCTATGGACCAATTTTTTTTTTGCCCCTCTAGAGTATAGGTTTATATAAGGAAATTATCAAAAATAAAATTAATTTTTGATATATCAGGAAAAAAAATCACATACTTTTATATAGTTCATCTTTATTCTTTTTTTTCATTTTTTACATTTTTTTTATCAAAATAGCCTGCACGGTAATCATATTAGTGTGAAGACTTCATCATCATGGTACATTAAGTACCTTAATGAGTACCACATTTTATATGGCATTTAAAATGCCGAGACAACTCGAAACCTTGTTACGGTACTTGAAAGATTGTGATACTATTATATCTTATAGCCCTCCTGAGAGCCTTTTTTTTATTATGGTTTTGTTTTTCCCATTTTAGGGTGGCTCTCTCTATTTTTCCTCTCTAACGCAAAATTTCTCGAGGTTCTGAATATATGGCGCTCAATCTCTCACCGGTTCTCTTTCTCCCTCATTTGCTTCATCTCATTAGACCTCTCCTTTGAGGTAAGAAATCTTCCTCATTTTTTATTTTTATTTTTTTTTTAGCAAGTTTCAATTGTACTTTGTAACATTTCAACCAATTTAGGTTAAGTATGGTGTGCTCAAAAAATAAAACCAAATCAGATAAATAGCTTGATAATTGTTGGTAGAGTTGTGACATATAAATCCCCAATTCTTCTTTTTTCTATTATTACCAAGCAATGCTAGATTGATTGTGTATAGCTTGATAATTGTTGATAGGGTTGTGATATATAATGTTGCATGTCCTCTTATTTCACAATTTTTTAGTTAGGTCAGATATTTTAAGGTATCTTTAATGTATGTTCAATGCACTATTTTCTACTTTTTTGTATACGCATTATTTATGTACTTTTTATTGTTGAAAAAAAATCCATGAGGCATTATTTGCAGCAGTGACATGACAATTAAGAAACGTGTTAAAATCTATTTGTAATTATTTGTGATAATTCTAGGAGCTCTATAACTTTTTTTCTATTATTTGTGATAATGTTAGAAACCACATTATTGAAGAAGTGTGATTGATGGTTTTGCATTTATAGTTTCTTCTTGAAAGATGTTATTATGAGATTTTTTGTTTATTATTGTTGATTTTGTATTTTTTATCTGAGTAGATGTTTTATTTTGGAACTATTCTTGAAGCCCCTAAAGTTTTGTATCATGCTGGAATGAGGTTTCTTATTGCTACTTTTCACATTTTTATTTATTTGTTACCATAGAAAACTAATGATCACTTACTGAACAGGGATCATGGCCGAAGGCACACCCTGCCCTAGAGGTCCTAAGATTCCTGTATTGCGCACTAGACAAAGACAACATATATCACATAAGGTCTAAGAAGGAGAGGTATGTACACATGCTCAAAATTATATTCTTTGTATAACATGTTGGTTAATCAATTTATTTATTTTAATGTTTGAAATCATAAATTCTATTTCAGGATCAGGATAATCCCATCAGGATTGATGAGAAGGCCAATGCACTAACTTTATGGCCTTTAATAAACAATGATCAAATTGACTTGGTCAAGAGATCAGAATTGCATCCTCTGACCATAGTTGCGATGACTCACCATGACCGTGGCACATTGGCTATTATGATCGAGAGTGGCACGCAGAGACGAATATCGGGTGCTTCAATATGGACGTCAGAGAGATGATGCCTACTCTTGAAGATGTATGAAAAATTCTTTGGTTAAGAGTGACAGGTGTAGTTGTAACTCCTAAAAAAGTGGAGAAGTTCGGGGATTTTATAGTCCGCATGCTAGGATAGCTGCCACCAAGTACTAACCATTCCATTACTCTGTTCACATGGTTGAGGAATATATTTAGACAGAAAACTATAACCGAATCACCCTGTTACGACACACCCGTGCCTACCTCCTTTATCTAGTCTGTTGCATAATCTTTGTGGATTCCATAGACAGTATGATGTCTACATGATATTTCTAGCCCCATATTTTGGGTGTGCGAGATGCCCTAGGTTATTTGTTACAAGCCTTGTCAAAGGTTGTTCGTCCTGATTACCAACACCTGAGTAGATTAGCCACTCTTTTGCTAGTAATGCTAATTTGCTAATGTTTTGATAATTTTTTAAAACTTTTGATAGATATTTGGTTGTAATACTTATTTTTTATGCATGCATTTCAGTGCTGGTCGTACGAGCATTTCAAATTGTTGCACCCAATCCCCAAAGACATACCGGCAGGGCTTCCTAGATCCCTCAGATGGGCCCCTCCTAGACAATGGGATAACTCTCAAAACTTCACTCTCATGGGGTGTCAGGAGATTGATAATGCATGGATAAATGATGTTAGTATAGAATAGTTTTCATTGACCTTGTTTATTTATATTTTAGTAAATTTCTATGCAGGTTATTTACTATAATTTTTTACTTTCTTTCATAAATCATATGGACCCCATATGATGATTTTTTTGATGTAGGAGGGGCAGAGATTATGCCCTTCTTGTTCGGCAAATTGCTTATGTGATACGTACCTCATATGTATACACTTTTGCGAGGGGTACATGTTAGCAATTTGGACTCCACCAAGGGATAACGACAGATCCCTTGCAGTAGGAGAGGAGGGAGAGACGAGCGAAGAGGCTGAGAACTGAGGAAACAAGCTGCGACCTCATATAGATATGTGAATGATCATGCTAGATTATATGTGTCAGGCAGCAGATGACATGTTCAATGGGAAGCTGACATAAGAATACATCGAGTAGTCAAGACTAAGGACTAAGCCCCTAATCCATAACCTATATATAAAATGTCCCTCAAGATTCACACCTCGAGGTTATCACTATGAAGATATAATTGCAAGACTATTGTAGAACTATCACTATTTTATTAACGCCTCTTTAATTTTAGAAGTCTTAATGATCCATTTTCATATGACTTGATGCAGCCCAAGGACATTAAGCATGCAACACAACTTGTAGGTCAATGTTACACTTCAAAAAATTGGGACCTAATTGGGGAAGTAATAGAATCACTGAAATTATATGATCTAGAAGCTAAGACTCAAGCAGCTGGGCCGCATGCAGGGGAGGAGATAAGAAGGGATGAGGAGGCCTCTGAGAAAATGGAGTTGGATTACAGACATGGGGAGATGGAAGTTATGGTTCCAGTATGGCACCCCCCTCAACCAGTTGAGGGGCCAAATAATACAAAACCTATCCCCGAACTGGATCAACGAGTGGCGCCTATCTATGGGTTATGCTCTCGCGTAGTTTGACAGGAAGAGAGCTAGGAACATAGCAGCTCAAATACAATACAATTAGAGTTCCCACAGTGGGGTCAGAAGTATAAAGTTCGAAGGAAGTGTTCTTAATGAATTTTCCTTATCTCTTTTTTTGTTGCTCAAGCTATTTTTGTAAAGAGGTCAGCAGTGACTATAGCGTGTAAAGAAACCAGTAGTGCATATAGTGTGTAAAGTGGTCAGTAATACCTACATTTCCAAGCTGCATTACAGTATTTTAAAGACCATAATGCTCAAATTTCCAGTAGTTTTCCAGTAGGCTTTTAGAAATTATGATATTTTAAGTACCGTAAGGATCAAGTTAAGCATTATGGTACTTTAAAGACTGTAATGCTCAAATTTCTAATAGTTTTCCAGTACGCTTTAAAAAATTACAATATTTTAAGTACCGCAATGACCAGGCTAAATATTACGGTACTTTAATGACTGTAGTTCTCAAATATCCAGTAGCTTCTCAGTAGGCTTCTAAGAAATACGGTCTTTCCAGTAGTTTTAAAAGAACGTGATGCCTGAAAGCTGCTGAAATTCCTGTAGCTTTGAAATTTTGACTTTTTAAGATTTTTATTAGAGGTTTGAAATGAGAAATCTCAAAATTGAACAGAAACTCCATAACATCAAAACCAACAACTTTAGATATTTCATAAATTGAACCAAAGAGCCATATCAACTAGTACTATTGGTCTCTTTACATAATTTCATATATTCGATTTGCATGCCTTCCAATTATGGCCCGCGACCCCGCAGCGACTACACTTAAAAGGCCTTATCTCTTTGTACTATATTTTTCTACATGGTTTCTTTAGCCGGCCCAGGGTTTGCCTTGCAGTTGGCAGCAGTAGTGTTGTAGGGGTTCGCCTTGCAGTTGGCAGCAATAGTGTTGTATAGACAATCTTTGGCAACTCAATTGTATTCAGCATAGGGTTGAAGGGAAGGGAATATGCTCTATGGCAAATCGCCGCAAAACTCTGTAACAACTTAATGCCTATGATCTATAGTGGCGATCGCATGACTGCATGACAACCTACTAACTTGCTACAATTGATAACTATATGTATGTGTCACTAGATTAACAATATGTCATAACCACATTGTTCTCATGCATACTATCATGTGGCCATATGACTATATGAAAGAATTTTGACTTATCCCTCTTGTATATTTCCTCTTGGGCCTTATGTGTAAGCACGTCGCTCCATCCTAGGGACATAATCATCTTCTTAAAAAATTCACTTAACCCTTAGGCATTTAAGGAGTTTCATAATGGGCTTCTCCCGAGCCTTTAATATCCACTTGTTATATGATTCGGATATGTTTGAAGTCAGATAATTGTATCAACACCCCCGAAAATATGTGTTTGCCTAATATTTCAGATATTGTTACATGATCCAGTCATAGGCCTCAAAATTTGCACTCTTAATCATTGTCATGTACTCATCGAACATT